GTAGTCTTCAGTGGTTTTCTTGGTTATTTACATGATGTGGGTGTAACTGTGTGATGAGGTGAGCTTAGGATCTTCCTACTCTACCATCTTCCCTGGAAGTCTTGTCTCCCTTTTTTAATTAATAATACTCTACAAACATTTTTCGTCTCAAAAAGAAAAAAAAACAATTTTAATTGTATTGATCAAATCTCTGTTGGGCTTTGTTAACTTTGTTCTTTATGTTAATTTTTTAAAAGTAAATTTCACTTTTAAATTACACACGAATGAATGCTTGTTACAACAAGTGCAATAATGTACTTTAATATGTGTATTGTCAATGCTTATCATCTCCCACTCCCCTGCCAGCATTCTCATTGCTGGCCCAATATGTGTTTTTTTTCAAAACTTCCTTCTTATTATAAAAACTTACCTAAACATATATACACACAAAACTTCAACACTAGGCACTCTGTGTGTGTGTATAAAATGTCATCAGAATCCAATGATATGAGGTATCTACTTAGATAACATATGAATGGATTTCTTCATATGAAGATACCTTGTATTGTCAGAATAAGTCTACATTGGTTGTAGTAGGTTATAGTTGGTGGTGATGCTTTCTTGGATTGCATTTGTTAGTATTTACATATATATTTTTATATCTGTATTTTAAGTGTTCTGAACACCTCCTATTCAACCTGTTGGTGAATAAGTAATCCTCTCCCTTAAATAGTGAGATGACTTAATACACAGCACCTGATGGTATATACTCCTTGGAGGAAGAGGATACTATACAGCACACAGGGCTTCAAATATTTATTCCTTTTTATTTATTTAAATTTAATATTTCTTTTTTAGTTCTAATATCCCATATCATTGTGATTATGTTATTTATTTTCTAATATCTTTTTTAAAGATTTTATTTATTCATTCATGAGAGACACAGAGAGAGAGAGGCAGAGACACAAGCAGAGGGAGAAGAAAGTTCCATGCAGGGAGCCTGACATGGGACTGGATCCTGAGCCTCCAGGATCAGGCCCTGGGCTGAAGGTGGCGCTAAACCACTGAGCCACCTGGGCTGCCCAATTTTCTAATATCTTAAGAAAGAATCTTAATTGACTTATTTGTATCTGTGAGTTTCAATTCCCTAGATGCTGAATCCAAAATAGGAATTCTTGTGAAATGGATTTTTTGAGGGAAAAACGTCTATGGAAAAGACTTTAATATTTTACCATTAAATATGATATTAATTTAGGATTTTGGTCTATCTCCTCCATCAGATTAAGAAAGTTTCCTTCTATTCTTTTGTATCAATTATGATCACATGTTTTATACTACATTCTGTTCAAATGGTGAATTACAATGACTGATTTTTGAATGTTGTATAAATCTTTGAATTTCTGATATAAAACCTACTTTCTCATGATATATTAATTTTTTCACATTGTGGAATTTACATTGTGTTCTATGCTCTAACCAGAAACAGAGCCTGATGAATACACCTTTAAGTGTCTGTAGTTTTTCTTGTTTTTATGGATATCATTGCACTTATTACTTGAGGCTTTAATTACCAGATTTAAAGCTTCTTGAGGATAAAGCTTGTTTTTAGATAGATTTTTTTTTTAAGATTTTATGTATTTATTCATGAGAGACACAGAGAGAGGCAGAGATATAGGCAGAGAGAGAAGCAGGCTCCATGCAAGGACCCTGATGTGGGACTCGATCGCCCATCCTGGAATCGCACCCTGAGCCAAAGAAAGACGCTCAACCATGGAACCACTCAGGTGACCCTTTAGACACAATTTATTTGGTATCTTATCTTAGTGTTGGAGAAAAAGAAGTAAATTAGTACTGGCAGTTTAGCTGACCAGTTTTGTATGGATTTTTCTTTTTTTTTTTTTCTTTTGGTAGCCAGGGCTAAAGAAGAAAGGAAAATGAGAAGGTGTTGCTCAATGGGTATAAAATTTCAGTTATGCAAGATGTTTCCATTTTAATTTAATCTTTTCAAGTTGCTATGAAAAGTTTTGTATTTATTGTACACTTTTTCTTCTTATCCCAAAGCTTTTACACTTTGAACAAATAAACTTAGCAATTTCAAATATCTTATGTAAAGAAGATAAAAGTCAAAGGACTGATGATGTCTGGCATTTGAAGTTAGAGACAGTGTTTGATAGGAATAGTTTTTGTTTCATCTACGCTAATTAGCAGTAACATGTATTTATCACAGGAAAAGCAAATATTCCTGCCTATTTCTTAAGGGTATTAATAAGTCATACGGAATTTTCCTAGAACCTTGTCTACCCCAAATCATGATTTTCATACACAGAAACATGCAATTACAGGATTGGTATTATATGCTATTCTATATATTTTATTCACTTTCTTAATAAATATTCAATAAAAATCTATAAACTAGATTGAATGTGTGTGTATTTACTTACTTATTAAAAGATAGCATATTCTCACTGCCAGAATGAAGATTCAAGTTTGCCAGGATCCTTTAGTTTATGATATGTACCTTCCTGCAGTAGAGAAAGGATACATTTATTATATTCAATGGCTTCAATACTTCAGTGTTCCTTTCTTTTCTTTTTTTAATCTTGATGATACTCAGGTATCAGCATTCATCTGACAATCTTTTGTTACAAAATCCAGACTGTGCTAAAAAATGTATAATTTCGGTTAAGTGAAACTTATCATTTGGATATATCATAAAACTGCCAAAAATGTGTTAATGTAAAATTTAATTTAGTAATTGAAAATCACTACCACTAAGAAATCTTTTATAAATAAATCATGACCATGTATTTCTATGTAATATTTACATATAAAAAGAGGTATAAATCTCCTATATTGTATCATAGGTCAGATCATGCGATTTATACTTCCAGCCCCCATGTACTTTGTAATTTCATGAAGAATGATATAAGGAAGTTGAGTGCAATATAAGGCAACTTTATGTACTTTCACAAACTATTTTATTTGTTTACACTTGTGGCTTTAGCAGACTCTGGATTTTTTTTTTTTAAAGGCAGAATCTGCTGAGAAGGTGGTGAATTGAGATGACTATACAATAGGGGCCTTTGCCTTCCAAGACCCTGAACTAGTTACTAGATAAGGAGAGTCTCAGAGCAAGCATCAGCTAAAGGTTAGTGGGGTGAACTTATTCTAAAATTTTCTGAGCCTTTTTGTACCTTGAGTATACCAGATAAAAGGACAAGTTTTATTAAATTATTAAGACCCAGTTACATATTAAAAGAGAATCTAAACATGTTGAGGAAGGATGTTAACCTTGTATAACCTTTCTCGTGGCTCTTGACACAGTAGGTGCTAAGAAATACAACTGATTGACAATGATTATAAATCTTCTTTATTGTTCCCATTTATCTGATGTCTGTTCTGGCCCTAGGAACTCCAATTTGAATTAGTCTCCCTACCATTTTTCAGGCATCACCATTTAACACTGTTGCAGTTTTCTTGGAGCAAGACCAAAATAGAATGAATGATCCTTCTTTCACAGAAGGGATAGATGAGAATGTGGAGCGAGAACTCCTTAGGACAGATTGTAGCTGGCCAAAAGACAAAATGATACAGATTTCCATCATCAAAGAGAATTCTTGATGGGTCTCTTGATGGGTCTCATAAAAGTGTTCGTCTTTTATCTTCCTAGGCCTAGACCAGGAAGCATCTTTCTAAACTCTTTTGTCAGGATACTGTGCTTTTTTTATTCTGTTTCCTTCACGATTTTTATCTTTACTTCCATTTGCTCTTCTTCATTTTTTCTGGCTAAATTATATTTTTGCAAAATGGCAAATTAATATTTAATCCAACATTTCAAGTCCTGTTTAATTTTTTAAGAGTCCGTTCTTCTAGGTTTCTTGCATAAGGACAATTCTTTTCAGTAGCTATTAGTAAGCAGTAATTAGCCAGAAAGTAGCACAGTGAGTATGAATATTTTATAGTAATTAAGTCCCTGGTCCTTTTACAGCAAGAATGTATAAGCATTTATGAATGTATGAGTTGGATTATGAAGTACATGGACCCAGCTAGCCAAAGACAGGTGGAGAAGAGAGAATGAGGAAGGTGTGCAAAGGAGAATCCCTGATTCCGAGCAGAGCTCAGGAGCTTCCAGAGGAGACATATGGAGTAAAAAGAGAAAGGGCGAATGGCTATTACAGTTGGCATCATGAATGTGACAAGCATGCAGAAAGCACTAGAGATTTAAAAGATAAATAATTTCTCCAAAGGTCAACATGATGCCATGAAAGAATAAATTTTATTGATACTTTCTATAACAGAAGTTCTTGAACTGAGATCAATAAGTAATAGGAAATCATTGACAGGTCTGTAAGTTATTTCCAGCACTTCAGAAGCCATAACAAATCATACATTTAGCAATGCAAATACATGGATATTAACTAAAATCCTAGATGGTTTTGCTTTTTTGGAATTTTTGGCGTGGGAAGGCATCTTATATATTACTAATCGGAATATCATTTTAGCAAATGACTAATGGTGGGAAGTAATGCAAGGGGTGGTATATAGATTATGTTTTTCAGAAATATGTTCTCCCACTGCTGCCATTCATGGGGGACTTACATTTCCTAGGTCTTTGATTTTAGATTTATTTTATGACCTGCTGAAGAAAGGATGTCATGAGATGGACATAGGAACTTAAAAATGGGCTTGTACAATTTGATATTCTCTCTTGCATCTCTGCCCTTATGAGTTCAATATGTTCTCATTGGCCTCTTGTTGGAAAAATAAATTTTGGGAGTGTACCTGGCCTCAAATAACTGCTAAAAGCCACCTATCTATGCCCACCATTTTATCAAACAACACCAGACAACCCACATACACTTGAGGGAAAAACAATTCTTATTGTTGCAATGCCACTAAAAATTTGTTTCATTTTTAGTTATGCACAAATTGACAAACACAGCCAATGAATGCTAAGAGATATTGTTGGACCCTGGCTCACGGCTGCCAACGTGGTCCGGTGAACGCCCCAGAGACTCAGACCCCAGACAGGCAGATGCAATTAGCAAGAGGGTTTATTGAACGTTTGCGCAAACGGGCTCTCCGCCTCCGAGGAGGAAAAGAGCCCCGATTAGCAATTACAGGTGTCTTTTAAAAGGCAAAAGGAAAGAAACTGCCTAAAGACAAAAGAGCCTCGGGAGTCGCATGGCATCCAGGTTGATTTTGGGGAGGGTCAACATGAACCTATTCAGGGACATTCCAATCAGGGTGTGGGGGGGGAAACGGTTTTCTTATTGTAAACAGAATGCTTTTAGTTGCTAAAATTTCAGGAAGAAGACTGGATGGGCTGCCTCTGGGTTAGGGCTGGCCCTACTTACAAGGGGGGGAGGTTTCTTCATTCCCTCCTCTTGTTTGGGCTGATTTTAACCTTAAAATCTTAGGGAACATTTATTTCTTCAGTTTGGAGGGCCCGACATTGCTGAGTTAATACCAGAGCTTGGGTAATAGACAATCTTTCTCGGATGAACTGGAGCAGCCGGTTGAGGACGCAGGGGCCGAAAGTTAGCAGCAGGAGCAGGATAACTAGAGGGCCCATAATGGTAGAGATTAGGGTGGTCAACCAGGGAGACTGATTAAACCAGCTTTCAAACCAGCCCTGCTGGGCCTCCCGGTCCCTTTGTCTTTTATTTGACCTTTCCCTGAGTTTGGCCATGGAGTCTCTGATGACTCCAGAGTGGTCTGCATAGAAACAGCATTCCTCTCCCAGGGCCGCACACAGTCCTCCCTCTTTCAGGAATAGTCAATCCAAGCCTCCCCTGTTTTGAAGTGCTACTTCTGAGAGTGAGGTGAGGGACTGTTCTAGCTTAGAAAGGGACTGCTCTAGTGTCCGTAGATCCTCATCTACAGCTGTTTGGAGTTCTAGATAACGTTGTGAGTCCTGGATCAGAGCAGCTGCGCCAGGACCCACCCCAGCAGCGACCCCTAGTCCCAACATAACGGCTAAGGTTAGGGAGACAGGTTCGCGCCGAAAACGGGTAGGATGTTTATCATACTGATTTTCTAGAGTTTCAGCAGGGTGATAGAACACCCTGGGTATGATCTGCACCATGACACAGAAGTCGTTTGAGCTATTTAGAACCTTAGCCGACACACAGGGGGTGAGGCCTTTGTTGCATGCCCACCAAGTTCCCGGCTGGGGCTCCAGGTAAGAATCAGTCCCCAAAATCGGGGTGGTAGTGTTGCAGAGTCTCTGGTAGCCCCGGTGGGGTGTTCCTATGCAGGTTCCCTGTCCTGTAACTTCTGTAAGGGTGAATTGTGGTTGGGAGTCGGGTGTGCATCCCTGAGTGCTAGTGATGTTATTATAGGTCCCTGAAGTAGCAATTCCCTCCTAATAAGGGGGAGGGGAAGCAAGGCAGAGCCAGCAGGATTTAGTTACATCGGGGCTGGTTCGATTAAGGGCCAGGAATGCCCCTATGATAAGATTAAACAGTCGTTGTCCCGTCTCGGGTGACGACCCAGGGGTTGGAGTGACCGCGAAGTTAGTGGGTGCGGCACTCCCTGCGGCTAGGGCCGGGGCAGCTCTTTGTTCCCGAGGACCGGTTAGGCCCGATCGCCATGGGGTCTGGGGATTCTATTTTTAGTTTAATTCTGAATATAAAACCATCATCTGTTCTTTCTTTGTATAACCTGAGTCCCCACGTATATCCATTGGCCCAGTAAGTAGCCCTTTTTCCGGGCTCCGTGAAGGATATCCGTAGGGGATGACACCACCCTTGGCAGGGCCCATAATTAAGGGTTTTCCATTTGCTAAATGTCCGGTGAGTATAGTTAGCCTTGACAGTGATATAATCCCAGGAGGAGGAGGGCCTCCATTCTGTATCCCCAGTAGTTTCGCACCCCCAATTTTTACAATAAAAATATTCCCCTCCTCCACAGGTGGGATTTAGCCTGCGATCTCTGTGGTACCCGGGACAGACATAAAAGGGAAGAGTGCTTAGCATGGCCCTTCTGTCAGGCGTGCCACATCCTCCCCATGGGTCTAATCCCAGTCGCCCTGGAGGGCTTTCTTGGTTAGGGGCTCTAGAGGTGTCGAAGTATCCCTCTAGGTCCCATGGGCTAGGGGCCCCTATGGTTAGCTTGCATAGGTCAGGATATAGGTTAGGCCACCAGGTTCCCACGGGGCGGTCTTAGTTATAGACCAGACCTCGTCACCCCCAGACGTTAGTACCTGCCAGGTTAACCTTTTGAGGGCATGAGGGTCACCTTTGGCGGAGGTGAAGAGCGCTAGGAGAGGTAGGAATATAACAACTGTCATTGAACAATTTTTGTAAGTCTTATCTTGAGCGGGTTTTGGGTGCGGTGGAGCTTCCATTGGAGTGGCTCGTCCGGTCCGTCCTGGCTGGCGTCAGCGGTGCTCGTTGATGGGGCGCGCTGGACGTGTGAGGCGTGGACCCAAGCAGCAATGCCGTCTACCTTTAAGGCAGTTGGGGTGGTCAGTAGTACAGTATATGGGCCCTTCCAGCGGGGCTCAAGCGTCCTGGACTGATGTCTCCTGACGTAGACGGAGTCCCCGATCTGGAACGGGTGTGGGCCGGTTGTGTCTCCGGGGCGGTAGACAGCCGCAAGGGGTTTCCAGATCTGGTGCTGGATAATCTGGAGCGCCTTTAGCCTGTCCTGTAAACCGGGAGTGTTAGCAAGAGGGTCAAGAGCAGAATCTAGTAAGTCCGTTACTGGTGGGGGACCTCCATAGAGAATCTCGTAAGGAGTTAGCCCATGGCGCGCGAGAGTGTTCCGGACTCGGAACAGAACCATAGGGAGGAGTTGGACCCAGTCTCTAGTGCCAGTCTCCAATGTCAATTTAGTTAGGGTCTCTTTAATTGTTCTATTTATTCTTTCTACCTGACCTGAGCTCTGGGGTCTGTATGCACAATGTAATTTCCAATTTATCCCCAGTAATCTGGCCACCAACTGACTTACCTGGGAGACGAAGGCGGGGCCGTTGTCCGACCCTATTACCTTGGGCAGTCCAAACCGGGGGAAAATTTCTTCCAGGATTTTCTTGACAATCACCTGGGCGGTTTCTTGCTTGGTGGGGAAAGCTTCTGTCCAGCCATTTCGTAGAAAGCTACTCCCATCGGTGTACCAGGTTGCTTCAGCATCTGGCAAAGGCTGGTCCGTCAAGTCCCCTCTGGTGCCATGGACTTCAGCTAGGATCTGGTGGCAATCATGCATTACTAGGGAGGGGGACTCGGTTTCTGGAAGCAAGGTGGCCGGGTTTAGAGATGTAGCCGTTCCAAACTGTATCCGCTCAGAATTCAGTAACATGGCCTGATAATGGGTGACCCGGGCGTTTGAGAGCCATCGATCAGGGGGCTGGCGGATGACTGTCTCTACGGCGTGGGGGGCCACCACAGTGAGGGGTTGGCCGAAAGTCAACTTGTCTGAGTCTTTTACCAGGACTGCCACAGCGGCTATTATTCGGAGACATGGGGGCCATCCTGCAGCCACGCTGTCTAATTTTTTTGAAAAGTATGCCACGGGCCTTTTCCAGGGTCCCAGTTTTTGAGTTAGGACCCCTTTGGCTATTCCATTATGTTCATCAACATATAGCGTAAAAGGCTTGGTTACATCTGGGAGGCTCAGGGCAGGGGCGGTCAATAAGGCCCTTTTTATTTTGTCAAAAGCCAATTGTTGCTCCTTTCCCGAGTGGTAGGGGGTGTTGGATTTCGTGAGAGGATATAGGGGAGCCGCCATCTCCGCAAACCCGGGTATCCAGAGGCGGCAGAACCCAGCACTGCCGAGGAACTCTCGTAGTCCTTTGGCATTAGTGGGTGCTGGGATCAGGGCTACAGCCTTTTTGCGGCTCTCCATCAGCCACCTCTGGCCTCCTTCCAGGAGATATCCCAGATAGGTCACTTGTCTCTGGCCTATTTGGGCCTTTTTGGCGGAGGCCCTACACCCCAGTTCTCCCAGTCTCTCAAGCAGGGCCCCCGTACCTTTTATACAATCCTGTTCTGTCCTAGCCGCCAGGAGCAAATCATCCACATACTGCAGGAGGACGAGGTCCGGATGGCCAACTCGGAAATCTGCCAAATCCCGATGCAAGGCCTCATCGAACAAAGTGGGGGAGTTTTTGAATCCCTGTGGCAGCCTTGTCCAAGTGAGTTGTCCTGAGAATCCCGTCTCAGGATCTTTCCATTCAAAAGCAAAAATAGGCTGGCTTTGAGAGCTTAATCTTAGGCAAAAGAATGCATCTTTTAGATCTAACACCGTATACCAGACATGGCTTGGGGGTAAGGTGCTGAGCAAGTTGTAGGGATTCGGCACCGTGGGATGTATGTCCTCTGTCCTCCAGTTAACCTCTCGTAAATCTTGTACCGGCCGGTAATCTCCTGTGCCGGGTTTTTTTTTTTTTTATGGGTAATAGAGGAGTATTCCAGGGCGACTGGCAAGGTATTAAAATGCTCAATTGTAATAGTCTCTGTATATGTGGCCGAATGCCTTCTTTGGCCTCTTTGCTCATTGAATATTGCCGGATCGATATGGGGGTGGCCGAGGGTTTTAAGTTTATAATTATGGGCGGCTGGTTTACAGCTAGTCCCATTCCGGCCATTTCCACCCAGGCCTGAGGGTAGTTAGTGAGCCATTCAGAATCTAGGGGCTGCACTGACGGTGGAGAGTCCTCGTGCAGCCGGTGTTCATCCTCTAGGCGCAAGGTCAGTACCTGGAGGGGCTGCCCTCCCGCGCCAGTAATAGTGGCCCCTTTTTGCTGAAAATGTATCTGGGCCCCTACTTTTGAAAGAAGGTCTCTGCCTAGGAGAGGGTAAGGGCAGTCTGGGACCAGTAAGAAGGAATGCGTTACTTGCCCAGTGCTCAGGTGGACCTTCCTTTCGGTTGTCCATCGATATAACTTGCCTCCAGTTGCCCCCTGAACCCAAGACGTTTTAGAGCTCAAGGGTCCTTTTGCCTCAGTTAAAACTGAATGTTGAGCTCCCGTATCGACCAGGAAGGTCACCGGCTGTCCCCCCACTTTAAGGGTTATCCGAGGCTCGGGGGGGTTCCTGGCCCTGACACCCCTAATCTTCATCTTCTAGGGACAAAACAGGAATGGGCTTCTTTTTAGGTCCCTGCGTTTGGCCCTTCCTTGGGCAATCTTTAACCCAATGTCCTTTTTTCTTGCAGTAGGCACACTGGTCTCGTTCAACCCGTGGTCCTCTTTTGTCTCCCAGGTCCCTACTCTGTCCTGACTTACTCTGCCCTGAGCCCTGTACTACGGTGGCCAGTATAGCCTTCTATTAACCTCTCCAGAAAACCTGTCGGCGTCTCATCTTTTCCCTGCACTATAGCACCTACCTTTGCCAAATTGGTGGGGCGACGCCCTGCCCCTTTGAGACCCGCTAGGAGTACCTGGCGATAGAGACGCAGCCGCTCCCTACCAGCAACAGTGTCGTAGTCCCAGGTCGGGCGAACCAAGGGGAAAACATCCTCAATCTCATTAGGCAGCTGGGTCGGCCTCCCATCCGCCCCCGGGACGTTTTTCCGAGCTTTGAGTAGACGCGCTGTCTCTCCTCCATGGTGAGGGGAGTCTGCAGGAGCTGTTGGCGGTCATCCCAGGTCGGCTGCAAGATAATGTCAATATTAAAAGCTCCGTTCCTGGGCCACCCGACGTTGAAAGCCGGCCACTCTGAGGAGCAGAAGGTGACCCATCTTCGTCTTCTGACTTCGACCGAAAGATTGTGTGCCCGGCCGGCGACTTCTTTCCAGTGATCTAGAGTGAGGCTTAAAGGGGTGGTTACAGTCTGCCCCATGGGTGTAGAGAAGGGTGAGCGGTGAGGAGGAGGACAGGAAAGGAAGAAAAACACGGAACGAACAGACGCACAGGAACGACAGGACTGGCGCGGCAGATTCAGGTGGGAGCGGTCGCGAACCACGACCCTCCCCGAAGAGGAGGGAGTGCCGGGGCTCCGTTCCTCTTCCAGACCACTCCGGAGTCCGACTCCGGAGGGGGACCAGGGGTCTCGGGCACGTCTGCCTCCCCCGCTGGTCCAAATACAGAATACAGAGTACAGCGTCCTGCAGGCACAATACAGACCCGGCACAAAACAGACCCGGCCAGTCAGACAAACGGACGAGACAGATAGGACATTTAGCGAGCTCGGTCTTACCTCCTGCCAGTCTTAGGATTGAGTCTGGGGCGTCTCAGATCCCGGACGAGCCCCCAAATGTTGGACCCTGGCTCACGGCTGCCAACGTGGTCCGGTGAACGCCCCAGAGACTCAGACCCCAGACAGGCAGATGCAATTAGCAAGAGGGTTTATTGAACGTTTGCGCAAACGGGCTCTCCGCCTCCGAGGAGGAAAAGAGCCCCGATTAGCAATTACAGGTGTCTTTTAAAAGGCAAAAGGAAAGAAACTGCCTAAAGACAAAAGAGCCTCGGGAGTCGCATGGCATCCAGGTTGATTTTGGGGAGGGTCAACATGAACCTATTCAGGGACATTCCAATCAGGGTGTGGGGGGGGAAACGGTTTTCTTATTGTAAACAGAATGCTTTTAGTTGCTAAAATTTCAGGAAGAAGACTGGATGGGCTGCCTCTGGGTTAGGGCTGGCCCTACTTACAAGGGGGGAGGTTTCTTCAATATGGCTTCAAAAATAGACGAAGGAGCTTAGTTGCTGGATGAATATGTTTGGTGTTCATTTATGAATGATGACTATTATTTTGTAGATTTCTAAGAACAGTGATTTGGAATTCCCATTTGAGTAGGTCATTTAGTTGTATTAGGAGAGAATAGATTTTAAATCTAGGTGGTGGTAAAAGTTTAAATAATGATAGTGATAGAAGAAAGGGTATTAATATCCAAAGTAAAGATATGCTTACAAAATATACATTTGACAGTTATTTGCACTTAAGGTATGTGTTGCCTCACAGCGCCAAATTCATCCTTTATTATCTGTTCTGTAATAATAGAGTTGGAGCCTATTCACAGTTTTCCTTTATAGTGAACATAATGTTAAGCATAGGAAGTAGAGGGGATAGGAAGGAAACTGAAAGAGGAGAGTATTTCTCTTCTGAGTTTCAGTTTGCATCTCTTGGCTTCTTCTTTCTCCTGTCATGCAGCTGCGCACCCAGAGTATACAGTCCCTTGGTAAGTTTACAGCTCCATTTCTGACCTGGTTACCACCGTACTACAGTCTTGCTAATAAGGACACTGTGCTCCCCAGGCCTTGGGCTATGTATTCAGTATATGCTCCTGAGGCCTTGACTCCCACTATCTGTCCATCTATGTATCTTGGTCAACCTGAATCCCATAGATATGTCAAGAAACACCTAATACTGACTCCATATACCTCAGGTCTCACACTACCCAGCCATTAATCAGCAACTAAAGCCATGGCCCTTGTGGTGAATTTTTCCATGAGAATGGTCCTTTGCACCCTACAGGTTTCCTGCTTGAAAATCTCAGCCAGGATTCTTACCACCTAGATAGGTGTTTGCAGTTTTCGTGGAAACTGCAAAGAGCTCTGGCCCAAAAATTCAAGCCACAGAATTTTTTGACCAACTGATGAGTTGCCACCCTACCTTTTCCAACAAGGTCTGAAACTCAGTCTTTAGGAAAAAACTATTTCCAAGTTTGTTTTTTTCTTGGATATTCTCCCTCAGCCCTGGGTTTTTTAATTTTTATTTTTATTTATTTATTTATTTATTTATTTATTTATTTATTTATTTGAGTTATCCTTGCCTTTTATTCTCCTGATATAGTTGATAATTCTTTACAGTAATGTTTCCCATTTCAAATTGCTGTGTAGTTTCTGTCTCCTGATTGGATTTTAACTAATAAAGAATGTTGATGAATCAATTTTGAGGGAGGGGGATGAGTAGTCAAGGGTAATTCTGAGATGGAGACTGATGAATGGTGGCACTCTTGACTGATGTATGAAGTAGGAGCCCGTAGGGGAAGAAAATCAATTTCATTTTGAATTGTGGACAATGTGAAGTACTTGTAGGGCATTCAGAGGTAATTGACCATCAGGCAGTGAGAGAGCATAACTGAAGCTTGGTGGGGAGAAGACAGATAGAAGATATGGTCTATGAGTCATCAGCATTCAAGAGCAAGTTGAAGTTATGAGTAGAAGTGATCACCTAAACTGCTGAAGTATGATGGATGATAAAAGCAATGACTTAAACACAGAAATCCATGGAAAACTAAGGTACGCTAATTCCCAAGAGTAACTTAGAAGCAGCCATGAGAGGAAAGTGGACACTTTTTCAAGAATGGAGTGATTAGTGCTGCCAAACATAACAGCAAATTTTATTAATATAAGGATGAAAAAATATTAGATTTGGCCATTCAATTATGTTAAGAAAAATGTCAGTTCTTTTCTAAGAATAGAAACTATCCGTATCATAAATTGAGAAGTAAATTCAGGTGACATGACAGGGTATTTTTTTTCTTTGTGATGTGTAAGTGAAAAGAGAAGAGGATAAAACAATACCTTGCAGACCACATGGCATAGAAGGGAAAGGAGAATTTAGTTTTTTTGAATGAGTTTTAAGCATGACTAACAGAGGAAAGATGTCAGAGGGAGAAATCAAAGGTAAAAAAACGGTTGCAATACTAATCAATACAACTTAATCTCTGGGAGACAGAAAGTGTCAGGATTAAGGACACATGTGGAGGGACTGGCTTTCAAATGAAGGTGGTACTTGATCCTTTGTGACTTCAGGATGTTTTTAGTGTGTAAAGTATGTAACATTGAGCAGGGGAATTTAAAAATTTTTGTGCTTAATGACTTAAATCTTTTCAATGAAGTGAAGTAATCTGAGATTGATGAAGGGGAAGAAAATGTAAGGCTCTTTGGAGGAATTAAATGTACAGTATGTTGAGAAGTTTAGGTTAGGAATTTGTGACTCATTAACATAAAATAGTAACAATCAGCAGTGGAGTGTGCAGGTATGCCATTTT